CGACAGACAGGAAAGGGGGGCAGAGAGAGGGGATGACACGCAGCAAAGGGCCGCAGGTCGGATTCAAACCCTGGGCCGCTGCAGCAAGGACTCAGCCTCGGTACATGGGATGCCAACTCTACCAACTGAGCTAACTGGGTGCCACACACACAACTTTTAATTGTAATGGTCTTTAGATTGCACTGACTAAATTTGTTTGATCCAATCAATTATCTAGGAGGAGTTAAAATACAACATGTGCAAATTGCCAATTACCACAAAATGAAAAATGATTGTACTGAGTTAGCACACAGGTCCAAGAGGCTTTTTTTGTTGGTCTGGACATGAAACATGTGCCTAACAATTTTCATGTATCTAGTTGAAACATGCCGCTGTGGCAGCCTTGTTGGCATCTTCTAGGGGTTGCTATGGAGCCATTTTGCCACACCCATGAACAAGACCAATATCAGATGTGAAAATATGTCACTTGTGACATGTATAACGAGTTTCATGAGTTTGGGGGGATGTTTAGATCACCAAAACTGCCAATTGTTAAAGTTAACATCAACATTTACCTTTTAGCGTTTAGCAAATAGTCACAAGATTCATAACATATCATCATCAATGTCTTAAGAGTCTTCTGATCAACCTGCTATGCGTAGTACATGAAAGTATGAAACATATGAGTTTGTGTTGCCAGTAGGTGGCCCTATGACTATAACTGAATATTTCGGCATAGATGTGTTCAAGGTCCATCCATTTTAAAAAAAAATAAAAAAGAAAAAAGAAACTATAACCAGGGTGTTCAGATAGCTAACCCTAACCCTTTAAACATAAACTATAACCAGCTAAATTTTGTTTATAAGAACAGGAGATAAAGGCGCATATGAACCTGTTGCACATTCTCCATATTCCCATAATATTAAAAGCTTGGCTCTTGCAGTTTAACACACCAAATTATCTCTGGTTCTCCTACCATTTTTCTTCCTAAATCAAGGATGAAGCTTTTTTTTCCAGATGGATGGATTAATCTATAAGTACTTCCAATCGTGTATGTTTACTGTACATATGTGTAAGGGTCTGCAGGTTTCATGCTGCATTATTATCTTGAGTGGTGAAGAAGGGATTATTGTTCTAGAATACTTTTTAATGGGACTAAAGCTTGATGTAGAATGTCAAGAGGCTGGGATGATTTCCATTTTGTAATGTACATGACTGAGCAGACTTTGTATTCACATGCATGTGTGTGCCTCACTTCCTCAGTGCAACATATGTTTGTGCTCAATATAGGGCCGTTAGCGCTGCAAATGGAGGCATAATTCTTAACCTCTTCATGGTTCTGCCTTTTGTCTTCAAAGCAGACTCTTCGCAATCTTTCTCTCCTACTGCCACAACTACCACTTAAAGCTACACACACACACACACACACGCACGCATGCGCATGTACACCTACACACACACATTTGTGCCTGAACACATATGCAAAACTAACAAAACAGACTGTCTGTGATCCCCTAAAAAGCTTCTCAAAAATAAGCCCAAGTAACTTTTATTCCGCGCACACGCAAGCATGTGCACACTCTTTCTACTTTACACAGAGTATATTCTCTCAGAGCAGATTTGCATACTTATTTTGATTTTGCTTGTTGTTTATGTCTCCGATTGCGAGGTGTGACCCACTTGCTCTGTTCATTTTGTCGCTATTAAAGGAAACCCTCATCCTGCTATTTCTTCAGCAGAAGGGTACAGGTTTTCTAATTGGTATAAAATCATAGAACTCTTAAAATGAACAGGGAGTACACCATAGAAATTAACAGTGCAAGATGAGTATGTGTTGATTATTCCTCAAGGATTTTTAGATTATGCTTCCCGATTTATTGTTGTCTTGTCTCATAATAAGACAATGTTCACACAGACAGCCTCATATGGAGCAAGATGAGATGCTCTACATGAACTCTATATGAATGACAACTTAAATCAGAAGAAAGAAGGAGATGAAAATGATTAAGAAATCAATGATTTGCATTAAATATTCCGTACTGTAGCCTCAGGTTTTCATTGGTATTTAATTGCTAATTATTGTGTGTATGTGCACTTTGGAAACAGCCATAATTAAAAATGCTGTGGCATTACATCCTAAGGTTTTTATCTCTGATTAATATGCACTTTCAAACCACCACATTAGTGGAGGCTCAGGGGCATGCATATTTAATAAGAAAACTATCTACTGTTTTGCACCTGGCTACAGGTGCACAGTTGCACAACTGAAGTCAGGCAACAGAAGGCGGGTGTGAAACCTTATAGCACTGACTATTGATGTGGTGTCACTGACCATGTGTCTTTTTTTTCTGCTCATCTCTGATTACATGTAAGCGGATACTACCTGACGGCAAGCTGCTTGAGATTCAATATCTGACAAGATGGAGGCAAAGCTAAGAAAGAGAAATAGGAGGAGATGCTGAATAACATATGTATATGGGTGGCAGTGCTCTTTCATGCTGTTTTTCCTTTTCCACAGCACATGGTACCACTTAATTTAGCGAGAGAATTTGTTTTCGTTTTTAAATTGATTCATATTTGTAATGCACCCTACTACCTCTCTTGTGGAATAATGTCAGCCGGCAGCTATTGGCAGCAAGAAGAGATCCGCTGGCCATATTTGTAAAAACTGTGTGGTTTACTAACATACACCATTTCTCTAGTGGAGGCTTCTTCTGTATATCCTACCTGAAACTGCCTCTCTTTTCCCCTATTTTCTAATATCTGTTCTTTTTTATAATGATCTATTTTTCTCCTCTCCTAACATCAGAGCTGTTCCTCAACCAACTGTTTCATGCTTTTCTTTTCTTCCATGCTTCTGCTCTGCTTCCCTCTGGCTCCACTAACCCTTGACCCCTTCAGACTGGCAGTATGAGGGTAAGAGGGCAAACATCTGTTGTCTCTTTTCCTTTTGTTTTATTACATTCCTATGTTCGCTTTCACCTGCTCGCTCTCTCCCTCTCTGTCTTCCCTGTTGAAAGACATTTAATCTTAAACTTCCCTCACATCAGCTTCAGAGCGTGTTGCCTTGCAGCGCCTATTCCTCTACACTAGACACCTCCTTTCCTCCTGTCTCCTCCTCTCCACCTCTCCTGCTGCCCCATCTGGTACTGTCTGTCAAGCTGCCATTACCTGTGTCCCATGTGCTTGTACCATCTAGCTGCTGTGACCTCCATCTGTGAAGCCACTCTCGTCAGTGCTTTCTGCTTATGATGTTGCCACATGCTTTGACCACCCTGTTTGTCTGGTGTCAGTGTCGTACAGTCCATTCCTGTTGATGTTTTTTGTGGTAGCAGCCATTGATGTCACCTGCTATAAAAAAGATGTGTCAATGTGACAGCTTATGGCATGACAGAAAGACACAGTGTAACAATATTTTGAGGTTTATTTCCTCAGACCAATGAAATATTTACAATGTCAAGATTTTTGCAGTGTTGTTCTATCATTGCTGTCGGCTATATTCAGACAATACTGTGTCAGTCCTTTATTCAAAATTCTATTTAAGTAAAAGTTGGAGAAGTATTGGAAGCAAAATGTGCTTAAATCCTTGTGACTAATTATTATAACATTATTATATTATCATATAAAATTTTTAATACCGAGGCATCAGTACTGTAAGCACTGTAAGCCATTTTTGAATACTTACCTATATACCTATATACCATAAAGTTCTTTCTTTGGTCAAGTGGATCCCAATTGTGGGTCATAAAATAAACCTGGAGTAGAGAAAAGATTAATGGGGAAGTGAGAAAAGACAAAAAACAAGACCTTTCTGTATTTTTGCTTTTTTAGTGAAACATTGGAGAATTTTACCTTTTTGAGCCTCAAACAATCATTTGAAGAAAACTATCTAAAAAGTTTAAAGGGTAAAAGTCTCTTTGGTGGAACTGCTAAAACCTTATAAACATCTGAAATGTGACAAGGGTCCCCAAGTAGAATTGTTTTTTGTAGTCACAAGCCAAAAAGGTTTGGAAACGGTTGGGAAAAGGTTTATTTAATAACAATAAGCTGAGGATATGCTTTATCTAAAGTGTAATGCCATGTAAATGCTGCCATGAAGCACAATATACTAAAGGGATTGCAAAGTAAATGATTTATAGTAAATATAGCATCCATGAATTGAGCTTCTTTTATGTTAATTAGATTTTGCTTTTTTGCATATACAGAGTGTAAGCTGTCCAGACCAGGGCCCCCTGCAACCATAGTGACCATTGATGAGGAGAGTCCCAATGGTATGTACCAAACAGCTGCCCACCTACGCGCCTCACTTATTTTTGCTCCACTTCATTCTGTATTCCACTATGGTAAATGCTTCTGCACTCAAGTGGCGTGGATTACACTGTTGGGATTATTTCTGTACTACAGTGAATGTTGCTTTGGTAATGCAATACATATTAATACTTTCCCTGTTGGGATTGTTGTGTTGTAGAGTAGTGTAATCGAGTACAGTCACTCAGCTGATGGCTCTTGGGGCAGGTTGAATATAGGAGATGTTTTGTCAGACATACTGGATTGTCATTTTGATTGTATTTTTAAAGATAAATAACTTCCAGTTTTTCTTGGTGTTTATTTGTTCTACTCTCCCAGGGTAACTCGGAGGTGTGCGTGTATATGTGTGTGTCTTAGTGAATGAATACAGATGGTGTTTGGCATACAGACGTGACATGGGGCTCCATTAATGAGTAGTCTGCTCCCTACACAGGTTGTCTTTACTGTGGTATACCTGTGTTACAGTAGTACATGAATCACTGATGCATAGAGCAGACACGCAGCACTCAAGCGGGTCAGGTGAAACTGTTCTGCTCCTCTTTTTCTCATCCTTTTTCATCTTCTTCTGGCCTCTCCAGCACCTGCACCCACTTCTCAGCTCTCTTTAGAATCCCTTTTTTTTCTCATGGCTCTTTGCTATGAGTTTGGAGAATTTGCCATCTGTGTTTTGTTGATTACTGTGTAGTGTTTGTACGAATATGTGTGTATGTAATAATGAGTGCTGACTGCTGCTTGGGGTGGAGCTATATGTTCATTGAGGGAATGAGAAATGCATTCCCCTAAATGGAGCAGGTGTGTGTTTGTCTCACTTGGTTTTCCCTGCAGATATTAGTACTGCAGGTTAATAGAGTTTAATGAGTAGCTCTCACTGAAGATAGAATCCAGAGCTTGTTTATACAATCAGAATAGTGTTGCACAGATGCTTCACTTCTCTGCTATATGTGCTCTGGGCACTGCGATGTGGGTGATTGTGTGTCTTAGAAAAAATATGTTTGTGTGTGTGTGTGTGTGTGTGTGTGTACATATGCATGCACCTTATGTGCATATTTGTATCCAAAGAGCTTGATCCGGTGGCTCTGTGTCAGATGAAGGTGCCATTTGTCAATGCAATAGCCTCCAATCCAGGCTGTCATACTGTCTCACCTACTCCTTCCTCTCTGTGTGTGCAGCTGTGATTTGGGGCTTTGATCGATTGCCGGGGGAATGTGTGAGATGGAGGTAGCCAAGCCTGCATCCGAAAGCCTCCCTCGCCCCACATGTACCAATGCTCTGTGTGTGAGGGATTTGCACTAATCTCCCTCATAAAGCACTCATTTACCTGGGATATGGGTCTCTTCTGGCTCCACCGTCCTTTTATTTATCTCTCCTTGATGAAACGGCCTAGAGCCCGTCCTCCCCATAATGGAATGTAAAACAGGCAACCCGCCGTTATTGACCAAAGCAATTATCCTTCTAAATGTGTTTCATCTCTTCTCTTCTGTCACACAGAAACCATACAAATGGCACATAATAAGATTCTATCTTTTTTGAGCAGTTGCTTCTATATTCATTCATGTCAGTGAATGGGAAAGCAAACAACTTAATCACCCGTCTGTCTGGCTTTGTTTGGTGTAGGTCAGAAAAGATAGACAAACAAATAAATGTGTAATCCTGTTTCCCTTGGCTCCTCAGAAGAACAAATTTAACACCAGTCATAAGAGCCAAGAAAATGTAGAGTTCCTTGTGGAAAAGGTGTGTTGCTCAGAAACATGATAACATTTGCATTTGTCAAAGCACTGTATTTTATCAACAGTTCATTTATTGATTATCTAAACTGGAATCATATTTGACTCAGTCAAGAAGAAAGAAAGTAGACCTTGCCACTGCGACCCAGATAAGTGGGTAATAATGGATGGATGGATGGATGGACCTTGGCATAGACATTGTGAAATAAGCCAGTTTTCTTGGTTCTAGCTTTTTTCAGTTTAAGCTTGCTGTGTTTTATTCTTGGAGGTTTTCACTTTAGAGATGCTGAAAGTCACGAGGGGATAGCAACCCGGTTGCTCAAATGAAGCGTAACATGTTTAATTTATCCAAGCTGCTGCTTCTGCAGACCCACTGACAGGTGCCAGACACAGCACATAAAGTCTCACTCACTTGCAGAGTAGATCTCTAATGGGAAGACAAAGCTTGTTTTCTATAGGCTATAGGCTTTGCTTGTTCTGCCTATGAGCTAAATCAAAAACAGTTAATCAGATTGAAGAGATTTCTATCACATAGGGTAGGGGCAGCTGGATATAAAGAGAGAGGAAAGAGAGAGAGAGGGTGTATTTTCTCATTGACAGAAAGCTTCCTACAACAGCAGTGGGAAATCAGTGTCCATAAATGAGGATGCCGTCTCCTAGCTTTCATCTTGTCTCTGCAAATTCATGATTTGTATCAACTGTTGCCTGAAGCGTGTGAGGATCCTCTCAGCCCTCTGCATATTGAGCAACAGCTTATAGGAAATCAGAAACAAGTGTTGCTGAAGGGCTTTATTTAAAATATGTCAGTGTTCATTCTTTTATGTGGTTTATCTGCCAAGGTAGATTCACTTTAAATGCTGATAAATCTTTGCATGTTGAGGATGGCTGACACCCACTTGAATGAGGCAATCAAAGTAAAAATCCTCCATAGGCTGATGATGCAAGTAACTGTATCACTAAAATACATGCTTGACCTTTTACCATTACCCCCTAGATACACTGAATGTTCAAAGCAAGTGGTTTGATGGGTAAACCTGTTCACCAGTGCTGCAAGCTTGGAGGGGTTCCTTTGGTTATTGCATCCCCTCTTCAGCACAGTAACACTTTGCCATGGGCCAATTTGTTCTCCTCAGATCAGCCTGAATATATAAAAGAAGTGCAAAAGAAAGATAATAAAAACTTCATGTCAGCATGGCAAGCAAGCTGTTAATATTATGACCTATTGAATAGCGCGGCGCTGAGTTAAGCACACTATCAGCTTACATGCCTTTTTCCACATAAAGATTATTCGATGGTAATTTAAGTCCAGTTTCATTTAAATTTGCATAGGCTTCATATTTTCATTGTTAAATAAGAAATAAACTCTTTATTTGAATAAGATAGTGATGTAAATGTTATGCGAGTGCAACACTCCAACACAAAGCACTTCTAACTCTATCACTTAATGGCCTTTCATTGTTACAAGTACTCAGACCAATCATTCATGTGATGGAAAGTAGACTCTTTTGAGAAGGAAAAAATATCCTTGTCTCGCCTCTGCCTCTTCACGCTCATCTCTGAACATGCACCAAAGTCAACTACACAAAGCTCTTCTGCTGGAAAAATGAAATGACAACCGCGCCAGAGTCTGTGTGAAGACAAACAAAGTGAGCCGCTTAAAACTTCTGCAGTGTTTCAGCTGCTTTCTCTGGTCTATTGTCAACTTCTTGCTTTCATCGTCTTATTTGTGTGTTGTGTTTAGACTCTGTGCTTCTGTTTTTAGACCCAAGACAACTGGCCACAGAGCAGCCTTAACACAGCATTAAAAGATTTTACAGAGCTGAAATGATGGCAAAAAGAGAAAAAATAGAGTGCAGATGCTAAATACCATGTGGTCTGTTTAAAGGTCTCTCATATCATCCACAATGACTAGCTCTCATTGAGTGGTGCAGGCTTTCCTCCTGAGGACAATACCAGGTCCTGTGTGTCTATTGGTTTGCCTCCAGGACTCAAAGGGCTTGGAGGCAGCTCTAGAAAGTGTTAAATGTGTTAGCAGGTTTAAACAATTAATGAGATGAGCCAGCCTACGTGAGTGTTTTTCTCAGTCGCCACGGACTTATTAGCTTCTCTCCTTAAAGTTAATTCAATCCCTCACACTGTTTCTCTCCACCGAGCTTGTCATTAGTTCGATCATACTCTCTGTTGCTTCACTCCTTTACATTAAAATGAAAGCATCTCCCTTTCTTAACGTCTGCTTCTTCTTTCTTCTTTTTTCTTTTTTTCTAGACACAACATCTAGCCAAATGTGGGAGCTTAATGTAGTCTGATCATGTACTATATGATGCATGATTCATTTTATGTACCTGTAGATACATCTAACCCTTGAAATATGGAAAGTGAATAATACATTTGAATTTTTAATGCTTCTTTCGGACAGTGAATATTAAATCAGAATATAAAGTCATTAGGTACATCTCAAGAATAAATGCACTGGCTGGAAATTAAATGTGTAGTTCAAATTTAGGGTCAGTTTCCGTAATTAAAACTGAACTACCTCAGACCTACCTGAGAAGTCTGTAATTTTCCACGAGTTGCACCTGGAAGACAGGAACATTTCCTCCAAGGTTAGCTTTACAGTGAGCTAACACTCCAGTTAGACACCCACAAGCACTGTAGCACTATGCCTTACTATGATGAATCCTCAAACACCTATAGTCCTGAATTCCTCTGGTTTGAAACAATAGTAGTTGTCAGCGGGGGAGCAAATTGATGTATAGGGCTTTCAGGGTAGCCCTGTACAAATAGCAAGGGCATAATTTGTAACCTTTTTGCCAAGTGCTATGAGATTGACCCCTGGCTGAAGAGAAGCACAAGGCATATTTATCCATCATTTGCCACAAGTGAATGGAATTACCTAATTGTTAGCCACATAGCTGCCTTTGACTTGCCCAGGAAATAAAATTGCAAGGTGTGAAGACAAGGCAAAAACCTGAATTAAGAAAATTACATTTCATCACTTACATATGAAAACAAATAAAACCTCTGCTATATAAACAGTCTATTCACCGTGAATACATTTAGGAACAAATACTCGCTCACTCACTCTTACTTGCAGCAGCCCAAGGACATTCATTCTGTTTTTTTGTACCAATGAGATGATTGCGGTTGTGGTGCATCATTTCCTAAGTCAATTTTTATGCAGACTTTTATTGCTTTTTACTGCCTACACATTTAGTTGGCCCGAAAGCACAAAGACTACT